TTTTTTTTTTTTTTTTTTTTTTTTTTTTGTCCTTTTTGAGACCGGCCACACCGCGCTCAGCCAGTGAGCACTGTGAGCGCACCGGTCATCCCTATATAGGATCCGAACCTGCGGCGGGAGCGCTGCTGCGTTCCCAGCGCCGCACTCTCCCGAGTGCGCAACGAGCTGGGCCCCTCACTGCTGATTCTTTCTCCTCCTTTCCATCTTGTCTGGCCAGTGGGAGGCTGCATCTCCTTTACAAGTCCCTAGTGTCTGTGCTGTCTGAGCACCCCTGCTCCAGGAGATCTCCATGCCCAGCCCATCTGTCTCCCTCCCTGGGGACTGCCTAGCAGACATTTTTGTCCCTGCAGATTCCAAGAAAGGTGGTATATGATCAGCTGAATCAGATCCTGGTGTCGGATGCAGCCCTCCCAGAGAACGTCATCCTAGTGAACACCACAGACTGGCAGGGCCAGGTAGAGTGTTGCCAACCACGCTGGGGTGGGAGGGGCCGGGGGAGCAGGAGGGGCCCCACCCACAGGCCCCTCCAAGCCAAGCCAAGCCCAGAGCTCCCAGTTCTAGTCCTACTTCTGTCGTTATCCAACCTGTGGGATCTTCTGACTAACACTTCTGTACCTCAGCTTCCTCATCTGTAAACAAACAAACAAACAAAAAAATAGCAGCAATAATTCCTGCCTGGCCTGCCTTCCAGAGTGCTGTGTGCGTCAGGCAGTACCAGAAGGGAGGCACTTTGAGAAGCACCCAGTGCTGTAACATGCAGGGTTGCCCTGGCTTCCCTGAAGGCGATTTAGCAGGGGCAGAGCAGTCCTCTCTGCTCCCTCACTACTGGTGCCAGGGGCACCTGGAGTGTGGGCTACAGAGGAGACATTAGCATTTGAAGCCTCCTGTGCCATCCTACCTTCCACAATCAGCATGTCTCCATACTGACAGCCAGGAAACCTGACCACCTTTGCCCAGCATTGATCTGAACAACAGAGACAGGTGCCCTGCAGCTGGGTCTGGGCCTCGCCTGCCCTCTTGGAGCCTGTAGGAGAGCAACATGGCCTCACCTGCATCCCTGCCCGTTTCCCTCCCCGCCCCAGTATGTGGCCGAACTGCTGCAGGACCAGCGGAAGCCCGTCGTGTGCACCTGCTCCACCGTGGAGGTCCAGGCCGTGCTGTCCGCCCTGCTCACCCGAATCCAGCGCTAGTAAGGGCTCTGCTTCCCCTCTCCTGCCCTCTGACCTCATCCTTCCACCCTGACTTCTGAGCAATGATAGGACCTCCTGGCCTTGTCAGACCCAGAAACTGCAGTGGGGTGTGGTTGGGGACCAGCAGCAGGCTGTAGTGCTCATGCCCCTCGTGGCCCCAGAGAATGGGGTATGGATACCAGCTTCTGCGCTCCTGCCTCGTGCCTGGACTCCCACCACACCTTGACATGCCTCACCCTCTTCCTAAGCCCATGATGATGAAGGAGAACCCAGGATTATAAAAAGACCTTTCACTCTGTCCCTCTAGCTGTCATGTGCTGCTTGACAGTGGAGAGGCAGTGCTTTTACTCCCCTGGGCCTTCTCAGAGGGGCCCAGAGTTCCCCGCCCATGAAGAAGAGAACTGCAGGACCCCAGACAGCCAGGCTCGCCCTCCGTAGGCAATCCCTTGCCCTCTCTGATCCTGGATTTTTCTCTTAATGCAAAAGCACTGTGGCTTATTACCTCTCTCTGTATTATCTTGTTTATTTGTTTATTTTTCCCAAATGGGTTGTTGAGGTCATGTAAAGTCAGAACTTGGGGCCTTCCCTGAGCAGGGCCCTGGAGAACCCCTGCACGTGATTGTGTGACTCTCCCCTCATTCCCCAGCTGCAACTGCAACTCTTCTATGCCAAGGCCAGTGAAGGTGGCAGCTGTGGGAGGCCAAAGTTACCTGAGCTCCATCCTCCGATTCTTTGTCAAGTCCCTGGCCAGCAAGACCTCCGACTGGCTTGGCTACATGCGCTTCCTCATCATTCCCCTCGGTAAGGACAAGACAACTTCCACGAGGGTGTGTCAGATAAGAGGATCCTACAGGCAGCTCCCAGTCCTGAAGGAGGATGGAGGGGTGGGGTCCCAGGAAGCCACAGTCAGGGAGACCAGAGGCAAGGGCCATGGCGGGGCACAACTGCTCTCCCACCATTTCTTCCCCTAACCAGTTCACCTCTGGTTTTCCATCTACCAGGTTCTCACCCAGTGGCCAAATACTTGGGCTCAGTCGACAGTAGATACAGCAGCACCTTCCTTGATACTGGCTGGAGAGACCTGTTCAGTCGCTCGGAGCCGCCAGTGTCAGGTGAGGGAGCATTCCCACTGGGAGTGGGTCTTCCAGGGCCATGAGGGCCAGCCTTGGTGAGGAGGTGACTGGGCCGTGCTGCTTTCCTCCCTGTGGCTCTCACCCTCCCAGTCAGTTCCTTTGTGTGAGTGGTTTTCCAGTAAGTGTTCATCAAGGGGAGGCTCATCATGGCAGCCCTTCCACTGTGGGCGTTTTCATCTCCTTTGCTTACTCTGCTGGGGGACCGGACATCTCTAGTTACAGAGATGAAAAACACGAAGCAGAGAAGAGTTACTAAGCAGTCTCTCGATGAATGAATAACACTACACTGACCGGGTGTTTTCCTGAATATTGAATAAAGGTGGCAGGGGTCAGAGTGAGGTTGGGCTCTGCAAGGCTGAGAGGTGGCGATGGCCTGGCAAGACTGTGAAGGCAGGGATGGGCAGAGACCGGTAGAGATGGCTGTGAGCAGGCCCGAGGCCATGCGAGTGGACATGGGAACGAGTGGGATTAGCCCGGGGAGGAGCAGGACTTGGAGAAACAGCCAAAAAGAGATTCGAAGGAAGATGGCTGTCCTTTGGTTCATAATTCCTTCAGTTCGAAACCAAAGGGATCTTAGAGCTCTCTCTCTACCCCAATTCCTGAGGCCCTCTGGCGGGTCTCAGGAAGGGGCTGTCTCAGAGGGCTTGCCTCTGGGATAACGGGCAGCTACTTCTTGGTTTTTCCACAGAGCAACTGGACGTGGTGGGGCGAGTGATGCAATATGTCAATGGGGCGGCTGCAACCCACCAGCTCCCTGTGGCTGAAGCCATGCTGACCTGCAGGCATAAGTTGTAAGTTTGGCTTTGAGGGCTTCCTAAAAGTAGGTCGGGTGGGTTAGAGGAATCGTGAATCTTTGCTTTTTCACGTTTTCCTTCTCCGTATTCAGTTTCCCTTCGTGGGAACCCAAGAGGTTGAGAGTATTTTTTACCACCTCACATCCAGGCACCCCTTCCTTGCCCCGGCCCTCCCCCTCTGACAGGCATGGGTTTCCTGACTTCCTTTCGCACCCTCAGTACAGAAGCAGCCCACACCAGCAACGGAATTCCCACGTGGGGAGGAGGGGTGTGGTTTGCATCATCAGGTCTTTTGCCCTGTTTTGTGTGCTCCATATGTATAACCAGGAACACACCCTCCTCATGCCACCTGAGATGAGAGGGGAAGACATATACAGTGTTCTGGACTCCTTTGAAGCCACAATAAAATAGGAAAAGCTCATTTCCACGGTGTTCCACTCAGTCTAACCCGCTAACCATAAAGGTTTCCTGTCTCTCCCAACAGCCCAGATGAAGACTCATATCAGAAGTTTATTCCCTTCATTGGCGTGAGTACTGACTCCTCTCTCCTCTGTACCCCCTCACTCTCCTGGCCTGCCTGTCCTCCCTTCTGCACATGCAAAAATAAAAGATTCATCCAGAACAGTGGTTCTCATGCGGGATGGGATTTTGCCCCCAGGGCAATGTCTGGAGGCATTTTTGGTTATTGCAGCATGGGATGGGGGATGGTCCTGGCATCTAGTGGATAGAGGCCAGAGAGGCTGCTAAGGTGGTTCTCATGCGGGATGGGATTTTGCCCCCAGGGCAATGTCTGGAGGCATTTTTGGTTATCGCAGCATGGGATGGGGGATGGTCCTGGCATCTAGTGGATAGAGGCCAGAGAGGCTGCTAAACACCCTGCGTGCACAGGACAGCCCCCCAGCAGGGAATGAGCCAGCCCCGAATGTCAATAGTGCCGAGGTGGAGAAACCCTGGGCAGGACATGGACTGGGCTGTCCCTTTTACTGTCTCCTCTTTTTCCAAACCATGAACTATCCCCAGATTCATCCCTGGTGTCTCCTATTTATAAAACCAAGCCCTGAACTTGGGGCCTTAGCCTAAGGAGTGATGTCCAGATTATGGCTTCCATAGGCTCCAGAGAAAAGATGATATTCTGAAGAGAAGTCCAAGAAATAGATACTTCTGTCTTCAGGGTCAGACAGACCACTGAGAGGAAGGGTCTCTTCTTTCCTTTTCAATTTTGGCAAGAAACATCTCTATACTAGTGAATTCTGAAAATAAAGGAAGCGTTTGGCGGTTAGCTCAGTTGGTTATAGCGTGGACCTGATAACTCTAAGGTCCAGGATTCAATCCCTGTACCAGCCGGCCGCCAAAAAAGTAAAAAGAAAAGAAAGGAAGAATCTCTGAGATGTCTTTGATGTCAGGTGTACTGGCTTTTGGTCTGTTTCATTTGGCAACAGCTGGGCTACAGGAGCAGACTGACCTAGGAGGGGGCCCAGTAGAGACAGAGCTGTATAGCCCTGCCAGGATCAGAGCACACCAGGCAAGCAGGACTAAAGGCTTAGATTTCCATTTATAAGACTCTCATTTCCCTTCCGGGTCAGCTGGTGTCTTTTTCTGTAATCTCACTGAGGATCCCCTTCTAGCTTCCAGAGGAGAATGAGCATGTGCAGACAAGGGGCACATCCAAGGTTCTGGATGTCTTGAGTGATTTTGGGAGGTGCCTGAGCTGGGGAAATTTGGTAGCCCTTTTTCATGCCTTGCAAAGCCTCCTGTCTGGAGTTCCAGTCAGTCCCTGGCTAGCCTCTGGGGCTGTTCCTATAGCCACATCGCAGGCCCCTGAACCGTGGCCCATAGCCAGGGCTGGTGGTTTAACCCACATCCTCATAGAGCTGTGGGTTCATGTGGGCTCTCTCTGAACTCACAGCCAAAAAGGAGATTTTAAAAAATGTTTTTAATTAAAGAAATCAAAGGAACTAGCAGCCTCACAAAAAGGCAGAGGAGCAGGGGGAGCGGGAGTTGTATCCAGGAAGCCTGAGTATCAATTTGTTCCTCTCTGGGAATCAAAATGAGGATGCGTGGGGAATTGGGACAGACTTCAGCGAATGTCAGCATTGTGTTCTCAGCAGCCTCGAGGGGATCATCTGCAGGTAGACACGTGGTCTCCTTTGAATCGAGCCCCAGTCCAGCCCTCAAGCCTCCCAGCTTAGCTGCTGCTCTGCCTAAGACTGGGCCGAGGACATCAGCTATCACTTCAGACCACAGCTGGGACGTTCACATAGTCTGTCTCTAGCTGTGTCCTTTTCCAGCCACTGGAGGGCTCCCTCTGTCCTTTCCAGAATTCTCTATGGGGAATCTAAAATTCCTGGGACACTCAGCCCAACCCTCCATTGGTACTCCACCAGATTCCAGGAAGGTCAGAAAGGAGAGGGCTGGTATCAGCACCTTCAGTGCGTTCGCTCGGCTCAGTGCACAGAGCACAGCCCCTGCCATGAGACACTCCTGTCCTGAAAGAAATGGAGGCGGCTCCTAGGACCCCCTACCCACGTGATCTTGGAAGAAATGAGATCCGGACATTGAAATGGTTCCTGCCTTCAACTTGGGCTTTGTCCTTATCCCTAGAGAAGAACTGCAACATCTCATGTGCCTCATTGTTTGGAATTGGGTTTTGGTTTTTTCCCCACATCTCTTAAATATCTGAGCTGCTCAGATTTGCAAAGACTTTTAAAGACTACAGTAAAATCATGTGTGGTGACGGCTGTTTTGCCGACCATCTGCTTCCAGTGGGATCAGCACATGTTGCTTTGATGGGAGGACCTACTGAGCGTCTTCTCTCCTTCCAGGTGGTGAAGGTGGGTCTGGTTGAAGACTCTCCCTCCACTGCAGGTGAGCTCGGGCCTTTTTGCTGCTGTGGAGTGAGGGGGGTATCTTCCTGGTCTTCTCTCTAGTCAAACGGGCCAGGGGCTGAAGACACTGGATGTCCTAAGGGAAGTCCAAGTTTGAGCAGGAGGAATGTGGGCGCCCCACTCACCAGTTGAAGTGGAGGCAAAGGGAGGTGGGGAGGAGCCTGAGGCCCAAGGAGGGAAGCAAGGCTGCCTCCCAGACAGCAAAAGACACCTCAGCTCCTCACCACCCACAGGTCAGGGGTGGCTTCCTCTGGCTCACTGTGTTTGCCTCTTGACAGGCGATGGCGATGATTCACCTATGGTCAGCCTCACTGTGCCCTCCACGTCACCACCCTCCAGCTCGGGCCTGAGCCGAGATGCCACAGCCACCCCCCCCTCCTCCCCATCCATGAGCAGCGCCCTCGCCATCATGGGGTAAGACTCTCACCCATGCCTGTCTGTCCTGCCATGCCTCTCCCCACTGGGGCCCAGGAAGCTGGCCAGTTTCCCAGTGGCAGGCCCGCTGGGCTTAGAAAGTAGCACCCAGGTCAGAACACTGGAGTTAGAATTCAGAGACAGGGGTCACTAGCCGGACTGGTCTTCAAAATGACCTCAGTGAAGTGGGAGGACACTTCCTGCCCTGTCTTGCAGAGTTATGGAGTCCACTGAGACTTTGTTGACAGAAGAGGCATTTTGTAGACTGTAAAGTGCTGTGCAGGTATCTTGTTACAGGACTTCCCAGGGTGGTAGAAAGAGTGTGGGCTTGGGCTTTAAGCATAACTGCTTTGGGTAGCTCTGTCTTGTGTCCACTGGATTAGCTTGGATGAGTTACTGAGCTTCAGTTTCATCTTCTGTGTAGCAGAGGTGAAATAGACACTTCACGGGGTCATCTGCTTAAATAAGCTTAAATAAGAACACAAGCACCAGTGCCTGGCACATCGAGGTATCGCCACCCTCCATGCGTCCAGTTTCTGTGAGACAGGAGCTGGAGCGGCGAGGGAGGGGGCAGCACCTGCCCTTCTAGAGCTCAGGCTGCAAGGCTGGACCCCGCCACGCAGAAGCAGCAGAGAAGTTATGTGCAGGAGGTGGCAGGAATGGTGATCAAGGGAGGGAGTTTCTTCAGAATCTTGAGTATCTTCAGTTTAGATCAAGCCATCAGGGAACAGCTTTCCCGCTGCTGAGGCCTGAGAGAGGGCAGAGGAGACAGACGGACAGACAAGGAGGGGAGAGGCTCTGAGGCGGGGAAGCTTGGGCGTTATCAGGTGCAGAAAGGAGCATGCTTTCTCTTGCTTCCCATTTCCCTTTTCTCTGCCTTTGCCTCTTCCTTTTTCTTGTAGCAGCAGAGAAGGAGGCATTGGCCAGTGGCTTTTCCAGAAGCACTAATGACAGTGTCATAGCCCCGGAAGAAGACAAAGCCTGCCTTGGAGCTAGAGTCCCAGTCCTTGCCCTCCCTCACCCTCTCCTCCTCTGCATTTTCCTTCCTGGTCATCTCCTGGTTTGCCTGGAAGGAGCAATGTACGAAAAGGAGGAAATACCCACCCAGCCAAGTTATGTCCCAGGGACCTCGCAGTTCCAGGCTGCCTGGAGGTTTTCTCTGTCTCCCCCCACAGCACGGAAGGTTTCTGTCCAGCCTGGATTTGGGGGGCCTTGGGAACATCCCTTATCTCCACCTCCTTTCCCATCTAATTTAAGCTCGTTTTTTAATGGAACTACTGAAAGGAGGCAAAGAGAAAAGTCAGATGACTCCATAGACCATGTACCTATTGTGTCTGACGCCTCCTTTTAAGAAAACATCAGCCCTTTCTCCCCTGAGAGCTAAAATTATCACTGAGCTAGAAGTGCCACAAGAAAGAGGCAGCGCAGGTCGGCATCTGCCAGCCTCCCCAGGGTTGCTCTGGAGGCGCGGACCGCCTCTGCCCCACTTACTCTCTCCGGCCCTTTGCTTCGCTTTGGCCTGGGCCTTGCTTGCTGGCATGCGCATGTGTGTCTGGACACGTATGTGCGTGCGTGCGTGTGTGTGCATGCACGCTTTTTGCCTTCAGAAAGCTTTCTTCTCTGCTTCCCTCATACTCCCGTGATGTTTTTATTTGGCTCCCTTACCATGGCTTGGGCCTCTATCCTCTCCTGGCTCTGTTCTCAGATCAGGAACACAGAGCCACTGACCTTCCTCCCCTCATCTCACCCCCTAGAGGCTGGCGCTGCCCCCTCCGACACCACCCCCCAGTCTGGCCCAGGCTGGGCACTGAGGGCAGAGTCAGCCTCTCATTTTGTTTCCCTTCTCCAGGAGCCCCAATAGCCCTTATGGGGACGTGATTGGCCTCCAGGTGGACTACTGGCTGGGCCACCCCGGGGAGCGGAGGAGGGAAGGCGACAAGAGGGACGCCAGCTCAAAGAACACCCTCAAGAGCGTCTTTCGCTCAGTGCAGGTTTCCCGCCTGCCCCATGGCGGGGAGGCCCAGCTTTCTGGCACCATGGCAATGACCGTGGTCACCAAAGAGAAGAACAAGAAAGGCAAGTGCTGTCTAAGGCCAGGGAAGATCAGGGGCCACCTGGCTTCCCCATCTCCTCCCTCAGGGTTTGGGACAAAGTTGCTTCTGGGAGACATTGCATGAGGGTGAAGCAGCACACATGTCACGTGGTCTGGCCTCGCCTGTGGGACCAGCCGTTCCCTGTGTAATGCAGAACACCAGGTCCCAGCGAGTCACTTGGTCACTAGCTGCTGAGCATCAGCACCGCAGGGGTGAGGCAGTTGCTGCCGCATAAGGAAAGAAGCTTCTCTGGCCCTTGCCCTCAGGCATGACAGGGAAGGATGCTCCATCACAGTCTTGTGGTCACTGTGACCCCACAGAGTAGAGCTTTTGCACCCAACCCTGGAGGCCACTCCAAAGGACATAGTTGTTTTTGAAAAGTAGAGGGGAATACAGTCCATTCTGGGTAAGAGCGGTGGCATAAGGCACTGGAGCTGGAGTTGGGGGTGGTGCTGAGTCCTGTGCTCAGGGACAGTGAGACAGGAATCCCCAAACCCAAACCAGTAATGAAGCAGTGCTTGCCGCTGTCGGTTCAGCTGGAAACCCACAGTTCTAGTTGCGCACCTGCAGCAGCTGGCGTGACCCTGGACCCTGCCTCCTTCAGGCACTGCCAAGGCAGTGGTGCCTGTTTTTGTGCATGCCTTCCACTCTGCAGAGTTCCCCTGGGGAGCAGGCAGGGGGCTGTGTCAGGCCAGCAGCCAGAGCCCGTGGACTGCAGCTCAGGAGGGACTGCACAGGGCCAGCAGCTCAGCAGTATCCTCCCTGTCCTACCTTCTTCCCAAAGCCAGATGGGGAGGGAGCACTTCCGGCGCATTCCTGGGAAGGGTTAGGGCAAACCCTGCCTCTTAGCCACAGACACAGGGAGGCAGACCTTTGCCCCACAGGCTGCCCTAGAACATTCCAGCTGAAAGGGACTTCAGAGACCATCTGGCCTTAGGTCCTCACTGTACAGATGAAGACATCGAGGCCCAAGGAGAGGAGTGGGATCTTAGCCTAAGTCGGAGCCAGGGAATGCCGGGGAGGAAGGGCTGGCTTCTTGCAAACTACCTCCCTTTGCCACAAGAGGAAGGTAGCAGTGGGGGCTGGGGAGGAGAGGGATGGCTGCTTCTCCAGGGGCTGTGATAGAGGCAGTTCCTTCTTGCTTTCCAGTTCCCACCATCTTCCTGAGCAAGAAACCCCGAGAAAAAGAGGTGGATTCTAAGAGCCAGGTCATCGAAGGCATCAGCCGCCTCATCTGCTCTGCCAAGCAGCAGCAGACTATGCTGAGAGGTGCGGGGGTGGGCAGGGTGGGGAGGGGAGAGAAAGGTACTCCATGGGGAGGGAGGCCATGGCCCTCCCCAAGGACCTTGGGCAGTGGCTGTAGCAGCCCTGGTCATCCTCCTTTTCCTGTCACCCCAGTGTCCATCGATGGAGTCGAGTGGAGTGATATCAAGTTCTTCCAGCTGGCAGCCCAGTGGCCCACCCATGTCAAGCACTTTCCAGTGGGACTCTTCACTGGCAGCAAGACCACCTGAGGCCCTGTCACCTGGCCATTCTCCCTCCTGGCACTGCCACCCAGCCTCACCGCCTGCGGGCAGGGGGAGGCCAGCAGGCCTGGACCTAGCATCCCCTTGCCTGGCACTGGGGCCTGCATCTCACTTGCCCAGTCCTGAAGGATACTGCCACTGGGGACACTGCCTACCCTCCCCCTGGCTTAGTTCCATCCCTGTGCAGCCCCTCCTCCCTTCCTTCCCCCTTCCCCTCTTCTCCCTCCTGCTCCAGGCCAAGGGCATGTTGATTTTGCCTTCTGGTACCCATAATCCCTGGCATTGAGTCCTCTGAGTCTTCCTTCACCTGACTTCCATCCTCTTCCCTTTGTGGCACCAGTTCCCATGGGAAACCTGGGATCCTAGTCCACAGCAGGAGAGACATCACCCTGTTCCCCCCCCCACCAGGATCTTGTTTTCTAAGGCCCAGGTGCCGCTCACCCTGCCTGCCTCCTGTGGGGCCCAGAGCCACTTCCAGTCCTGGGGAGTTCTCCACCTCCCCACAGCTTCCCAGTGGAGAGTGACGGGCAACCTGAGCCCGACGGACTTCCCTCCCCTGCAGTTCACAGGGGCAGGAGGTAACGCCCCCACCCCATCCCCAGGACATTTCTGTGGCAATGTGGTGTATTCTAGTTCTGGGATGGAGGGGCCTTCCCAGTCTCCTATGCACGACTTCTTCACCCACCTCCAGGTCCTCTATAGGTGTCCTGTGTGTCCAGAGTGTTTCTTTGGTTCTTTGCACAGCCAATCTCTTGGTTGTTCTGTGACTCACCCTGTGCCCCAGTCCCTGTCCTTGTGGCTTCTTCCCTGTTGATAATACCTCTGTCTCCCAGCCCCTCCACCCCAGCGCAGCTCTGCCTGGACTCTGAGAGACAGGAGGCAGAACCCCAACAGTGTACTGTCTGCAGCTGTGTCCCATTATCTCCCTTTTGCCACCGTGTCACTTTATCTCCCTTTCCCCAGCCTGGGCAAAGGCATCCCTTGCCACAGACTCAGGGTCTGAGCCCCTCCTTGGCCCCGACTCTCACCATTCTCAGGAGAGGCTGAGGACACTGGGTCCAGCTCCCAGCCCCAGCCCTCCAGCCCCAGCCCCTCCTGAGCTTTCCCCTGTCCTCTCGCTCCTTCCTAGAGGTTTTTGCACAGAACTTCATTTGAAAGTGTTCTTCTTGTGCTCCATCCTCCCCTCAGGCTCTCCTCCAGCCCCTCCCGCATCTGGAGTGTCTCAGGCTCTGCTGCTGTCCTGCAGCCAGAGGCCAGAGAGGCGAGATGGGGTGGGAGAGACCAGGCTGATGTTGGATTTTTCACTCAATAAACTGGTGATTTCTTACCAACTGCCTTGGGCTTCTGTTCTCCTCACGGTTGCAGGAGCTGTCCGGCCCATCCCCTCTCTGCACAATGCAGCCTAATTTTATTTAAAAGCAAGTAGGAGGGGCCGAGCCCATGGCGCACTCGGGAGAGTGCAGCGCTGGGATACTCCCACCGTGGGTTCGGATCCTATATACGGATGACGGGTGCGCTCACAGCGCTCACTGGCTGAGCGCGGTGCGGCCGGTCTCAAAAAAGGACAAAAAAAAAGCAAGTAGGAGGGCTGGCCAGTTAGCTTTTTAGGTAGAGCTTGGTGCTGGTAACAACAAGGTCAAGAGTTCAGGTCCCCGCACTGGCCAGCGCCAAAAGAAATAATAAGTAGGAACATGGTTGGAAAGGAAGTGTGTTCCCATTTTCTCAACTATAGAAACAGGTATGAAGTGTCTCACACGTGAGGCAGGCACAGGTCAGAAACAGGAATGATGCCATTCCCATGCCAAAATCTGTTTTCGCCAGGCCCCACCATCCCCAAATCCCACCTCCCAAGGTAGTGAGGTGTCCAGGGTGATTTCCTCCCTTCTGATTGGACTTGGCTTCTCTCCCCTACTCGGCCTACATCCTGCCATGGTATCTGGAAGTTGGTGAAGTCTGAGGACAGAGGGGTCTTTGCTTATGCAGGTGGTGGGGCTGGGGTCCATCTGTTGAGTTCGTGACTGCCTTTGACCTTTAAGATGGAAAAAAGCCGAGCAACTGTTTAATGGCTGCCTGGTTTGTCCATGTGCTCCCAGGACAGAGGCCTGCACACAGAACCTCCGGTGAAGAAGTGCCCAGAGGTGACGGTGTGTGGAGAGCAGAGCTTGGCATCCTTGCCCTGCAGGGTACAGCCCTACAAGAGTGGACGGCCAAGAAAAGCAGGCTGTCACTGGACTCCCTCTTGGGCTCCCCAAGCCCTGTGGCTAGGTGACCTAATGTAGAGAGGCTCAGGGACCCAGCCATGTGGTCCTGCACAAACTCTGAGCCTGGAAATGGAAATCATGCCTGCCTCCCAAGGGGGAGAAGCCAGTGAGGGCTATGAGAAAGTGTCCCAGAAACGAACTGCATGCTACATGGACATTCCTGAGCAAAAGTACAACAGGTCAGTGAGAGGAAAAGCCAGGAGGGGCAGATCGTACCTTATGTGGACTGTGGAGGGCCCTGAATGTTGCCCGAAGCAGAGTGGAGGTGAACTGCCTGAGGCCTGCTTCCCTGCCCCCACTTCCTCCCACTCTCCTCAGGCTTTTTTCCTCACAGTCCCACCAAAAGTTCCCTTCCCAAGGTCACCAATGACCTGGGTTGCCAAATCCAGGGGTCATTTTTCCCATTTGGCCTATCAGTAGCATTTGATGCAAATAACCACTCCACCCTTGAGTCTCGCTCTGCACTTGTCTGTGGACAGCGCCCTCCGCTCTCCTCCCCTGTCACTGCCGCTCCTTCATGAGCTCCTTTACTGCGTCGTCCTCAGCTTCCCAGCCTGGAAGCACCGCGTGGCCCCAGCCCCTGGCCTCTTCTCTCCCACATTCAGCCCTAGAGGGAGCTCACTCAGTCCCATGATGTGAAATATGCCCCCCTGGGGAGACTTTTCCCTCCTAGGAAATGGAAACCCCATTCACCACCTGCTGTTGCGGGGCGAATGCACAGGACAATCCGAGACCAGCGTCGGCGTTGCAGTTTTTATAGCTCTTCATTTTAGTGCTGCAGCTCTTTGTTCAGGGTTACAGCGCCTCTTTTTCTTGCAAGCAAGGAGAGCACTGAGGGGCACAAACTCCTAACCCAGTGTCTCCCAGAAGGAAGGAGAGGACCATCTTATATAGCCTAAATTCCCGCCCTTTTCTGCCCAAGTTCCCATTCAGGTCCTCTTATGTAAATGAGGGATGCAGCCCAGCTAATTTGGATTGGCTGATTATGGGACACAGTCTATTGGTCATATCTGGAGCCTAATTTGCAGCCAGCCCTTGAGGGATGTGAGACTGCTGTTATCTCACAAGGGGCAGGTGCAGGAAGCAAGCAAGCCAAGTCGCGGAGGCCGGAGTCTGCAGTTAAGGCAGACAAGCATGGGGTTTCTTAAACAGTTTCTCAGGTGGAAAAGGGGAAAGGCTTAACAATTAGAAAATGCTTAGGGTTCCCTGCAACACTGCTGAGGCCAAAAACTTTGGAATCCTCCTTGATTCCCCTTTCTCCCCTGCCCAGCATCCAATCCATCAGTAAGTCCTACAGGCTTTCCCTCAAGACAGATCCAGAACCCAACAGTTCCTCACTCTTTCACTGCTACTATCATCTCTGGTCTGGATAACCCAATAGCCTCCTAATTATCTCTCTGCTTCCACCCTACTCTTCCTATACTCTATTTTCCACACAATAGCCAGAAAGAGTTTTTTTCATTGTGAGATCATGATTTTGCTCATCCAAACTGTCCAATGGCTTCCCAGCTCACTAGGACCACCATGAAAAGCCCTCCTCGTAACCAAGGCCTACCCAATCTAACCTCCCAATAGCTGCTTGATCTTATGTGCTTTTACTCTTCCATTGCTCGCTGGCCTCCTCCACATGCCTGACACACCAGGCACGTTCTGCCTCAGGGCCTTTGCACAAGCTGTTCGTCCTGCCCAACCTGCACCTGCCTCCAGGTCCATGGAGCTTGCCCTCATTCAAGTGTGTCCTAAATGTCACCTCACGAGGCCTTCCCTTCTCTTACCCTTCTTTTTCTTTCTTATCAGTACTTCTCATTCCTTGGCATTTAATTATTCATTTGCTTGTCTCTCCCAATAGAATGTAAGCTCCAGGAAACGAGGAACTTTTTTTTTCCTGCTATATCCTTGGCACCCAGGATACTGCTGGGTCCATCACAGGTACACAATAGATATTTGACAGAATGAATAAAGATCTTGGTGCTAGAATGGAATCCCTTATCCAAACATGCTACTCGAGACACTTTAACTGATGCCTCAGCCCAAAGGCCACCTGAGTTTTCTTGTAAGCCCAGGAGTAAGAAAATAGATTCCTATCCTGAGCAAAGAGGAGGAAGAGGGTTGTGGAAAAACAGTTTCCAGGATTCCAAGTACGAAGCAATTCAGGTGGAAGATGCTGACTTAGACCTTGAGATGGCTCTGCCCAATCACTGAGAGTTAGGTCAGACCAGAGCAGAACTGCTCATAGGGCTGCCAGAGACACTTCTTAATTTTTTAAAATTTATTTATGTTTGTTTTTGGCAGCTGGCCAGTATAGGGGTCCAAACCCTTAATCTTGGTGTTACAGGGTGGTGCTCTAACCGACTGAGCTAACTGGCCAGGCCCAGAGACCCTTTCTAAAGGCAAAGGAGGGCCGGCCTGTGGCTCACTCGGGAGAGTGCGGTGCTGATAACACCAAGGCCACGGGTTCGGATCCTATATAGGGATGGCCGGTTGGCTCACTGGCTGAGCGTGGTGCTGACAACACCAAGTCAAGGGTTGAGATTCCCTTACCGGTAATCTTTAAAAAAAAAAAAGCTCACTGGCTGAGCGTGGTGCTGACAACACCAAGCCAAGGGTTGAGATTCCCTTACCGGTAATCTTTAAAAAAAAAAAAACTAAAGGCAAAGGAGTGGCATTTGGTGCAGAAGGTGAAAGAATCCCTATCTAACCTGCACAACTCCAGACAGGTTTTATGTTTAAATAAACTGTTTTGATTTGTTCTGGGCACAGGAAATAGCACGTGTAAAACTCAGAGATAAGGGCCGGCCTGGTGGCGCACTGCTACAGTGCGCCGCTTGGGAGTGTGGCGGCGCTCCCACCGAGGGTTCGGATCCCACATACAGACCGGTCGCTCACTGGCTGAGCGAGGTGCGGGCACAGCACCGAGGGTTGCGATCCCGTTGCCGGTCCCGGTCCGGTACGGGCGCGACACTGAGGGTTGCGATCCGTTGCCGGTCACGAGAAAAGACAAAAAGGAAAAAAAACAAAAAACAAAAAACTCAGAGATAAGAGAGAGCATGGCCTATACTGAAAACCACGTGGTTCAGCATGACTAAAAGGCCATGGGGATGGTGAATGATGGGACAGAAGAGACCAGGGCACTGAGGAGCCTTCCTGCTTGCATGATTACTTCTCTGCTGGAGCAAGGATTGTGTACTTCGTTTGAATTCATGGGGAGCCGCTCAAGGGTTATGGAGAGAAGAGAGACGACGGAGTTTAGAAAGATACTACAATACGCTGGAGGAGACAAGACCTGGCCTCCAGGCCTGGAGAGGCGTTTGAAGCCTGCTGCAGCAATTCAGAAAAGCTGTGGTGAGGACATGGACTAAGGGTAGAAGAGTTGGAGAGAAATACACAGACCTGAGAGCGATAAGACACAGAATCAACAGGTTTTGATGGATGGTTAGAAAACGGGGTTGGGCCAGCTGATTAGCTTAGTTAGTTACAGCACAGTGTTATAACACCAAAGTCAAGGGTGTGCATCACCATACTGGTCAGCCGACAAAAAAAAGGGGGAAAAGAAAGAAAAAGACGGGGCGGGGAGAGAGAGAAAGGAAGAAAAGAAAAGAAAAAGAAAGAACCGCCCTGCCTGAACAGGCAGATGGTGGGACATCTCTGCCGGAGATTTGGACAGGAGATGGTGAGTTTGGTTTAGGGCAAGAGGGATATGTGCTGTTCCAACTGGAGATTGAATATAGGGTCTGGATGAAGCTCAGGGGAGTGATCTGGGCTAGAGATGGAGATTTGGGCTTCCTTAGCATGTGGGAGAGAGCTGGTGTTGGGGAGAGGATGAGCTCGCCCCTGGCCAGGCTGATCCCCCTCCATCCTGATCACGCAGGTACCTCCTGTCAGCACTCAACACCTTAGCCCGGTCATATTCAGATGGACCTTTCTGTTTGCTTTCATTCTGAACGTGTTTTCTCTCCAACAATGCTGCAAGCAGAGACTGCCCTGTATTTCACATTCTTTCTACTCACCAGCACATGGTCTGTCAAATAGTGAGCTCGATGGTGATGGTAATAATAAAGAACTACTGGGAG